TGGAGGAGGGAGGTGGCGCTTAAAGGGGCAGGAGCTGCTGGGGTGAGGACAAACGCTCTAGGAGGTCTGTCGCGAAGGATCTGCTGGGGGAGGGGGAAGCAGGTGGCGTCTCCTAGGGGCCAGAACCAGTAAGGATCCCAGTGGAGGAAGAGAACAGATCCCACGAAGAGACAGAACTTCTGCGTTCGGGTGGGGGTTGGGGGAGGTGGTGGGTCCGAACTAGAGGACGTTGAGAGTTCTGCCTGCGCTGCCAGGGCACCGACAAAGACCTCTTCACAAAGGAAGGCTGGGAAGGCGGTGAGAACCACAAGGACGCAACGGAGGCGTGGAGATGCGGGAGAGGGAAGGCAAAGCCAAGCCTGCTGGGGATCACGCACAGCGTCCTTACTAGGTGAACAGGTTCCCCATGTTTCAGCTCCTCAGGGCCCCATCCCTTACGGCTGTGGAAAGGCACAGCCTCCTTCCCCAAACTCTGCCCAAGTTTAAAAGCTAAAAGCCTCTGGAATCAGGAAGCCATGAGGGCAAAGACCTCCTAGTCTTCTTAACCTCAATCCCGCCTCTCACTCAGTGACCTCAGAGACTGGCGTGTGGGGGACCGCCAATAGCAGCCATAGTGAGTGAGGTTGATGGGGAACCGTGAGAATCGGCTTTCTTCTAGTTCAGTTTTTCCCCAACCACCACCACCCTTGGCTGCAACCTCTGGGGCAACAGGAAGCAGCTGCTCAGTGCAGCCCCCACCTGGTGGCGGGTTGAGTGGGGGAGGAGAGAAGACAGACGTAGGCCCAGGGAGAAATTTAGGGGAGAGGAAGCACCCTAAAGACCCTGGAACACAAACAAAAGTGAGCTTTACTTGGGGGGCGGGGGCGGCTAGCAGTGAGAACTGTAGAAGATTACTTTGACTGTCAGCAGATGGGAAAAGGAGAATTAGGGGCAATAATCCAGGGGAGTGGGGGTTGCTGACTACGGTGCAGTCTCAGGCTCTTAGTGCTCAAGCTTCCAGTACACAAGATCCCAGGGTCAGCAGCCTAGCTGAGCCCTATGGCCCCATTTCCCTTCCTTTGCTCCCCAAAAGAGCAAAGGTTAGACCACACCCCTGCTGAGTCAGCCAGGGAGGGAGCTAGGCATCCCTCAGACCTTCCCGGGGGCTGTCCCTATACTCACCCATGTCTGGCTGGCAGAGCTCCAGGGCTGGGACCACCCAGCTCCTCACTGTCCTTGTGTCCCCCTTCAGGTGGGGGCTGGCGTTAGATCCTCCCAAATTATGAGCTGGGAACTAGCAAGAATCAAAAAGCCAGTATGTGCTTCCTGCGAACCACAGCCTGAACTGCTGTTGGGTGATGTCCCCGTCTGACAGACTGGGGGGGGGGGGGGGGGGGGCTTTCTCTGGGTGGAGAGTGGGAGGAGGAGAGGACAGGGCAAAGCAGAAGGAATATGGAGGAAGGTTAGATCTGTGTTGACACTCCGGTGGCATGGGGGAAGGAAGTAAATAGTTGCAGCTGGTTAGAGGGTAAATGTTCCGGATAAGTGCTGAGGGACGTAAATGGGGGCGGAGGGCGGGCCGAAGGATGCAAACAACCTTTAGGATTACAGTTCTTAGAGCTGCATCTAAGTGACAAGAGAAAGCAAAGCAGACAGTGCTCACCCATACCCTGGGGCTTTCTCTACCAGCTTCTTACCTACACAAGTCTGGAAGAAGAGGAAGTACCCCCACCCCTATAACTCAGCATTTCCCTAAATCCTTGATTTTCTGGGAGCAAACTAGCATAGACAGCTCAGGGGCTCCACCTTCCGACCGGATCATGACACAGAAGAGACTGGTTGGTGCCAAGGACGTCACAGGCAGACAGGAGGAAGCTTGGAGGCCCCTACTCCACCCCAAGCGCCTCTCCCAAGGCCCCTCCCCAACAGTCAGCCCCCCGGGGCCTCTGAATTGGGAGTTCAGCTTGTCCCCGCCCTGCTTCTACCCAAAGCTTGAATGCCTCCCAGGAGGTGGAGCTTATAGTTGCAGACTCCTCCTAAGGACAAAAGCCTCAGCTGATTTGTAAACAGTCATTAGCTGAGAACCACATCCCAGCAAATGGCCTTCAAGGATTTCAAAATGGTGAGATCTGAATTGTGACGACTGCTTCCAATCCACCTAGCAGAGGGCAGTAAAGGTGTGTCTGACCCCAAAGAACATAATTAAAAAAAAAAAATACACCACTGCCTTACAGTTTATTCCATCTCAATGACCCTGTAGGGCAGAGCAGAACTGCCGCAGAGGGTTTCCAATGCTATAATCCTTCAATCAGTGCTAAAGTCCTTTAACTTCCGTGGAGCACGGTGGGTTTGAACTGCTGATCTTTTGGTTAACAACCAAGCACTTTAACCACTGTGCCACAAAACCAACCACCATTATTGAGTCCTTTCTGACTCCTAGCAACCTTGTAAGAACTGCTCCAGAGGATTCCCCAAACTGTAATTCTTTATAGAAGCAGCCTGCCACATCTTCTACCCAGAGCAGGTGGTAGGTTCAAATCATTACCTTTACGTTATGTGCCATCGAGTCGAACTCGATTCATAGCCACCTCTTTGGGTTTCCGAGGCAGTATCACTACAGAAGTAGATTGCCTCATCTTCCTTTTGAGAAGTGGCTGGTGGAACCACCAGCCTTCTGGTTAGCAGTCAAGTGCCTTAGCCACTACGCTACCTTTAGGTTAGCTACCAAATTCTTTATCCACTGCACCACCAAACCAAAACAAGCTGCCATTGAGTAGATTGACTCATCCCAACCTCCATTGGGTTTCTGAGGCTGCAAATCTTTAGATGGCCCCATCTTCCTTCCTGGAGTGGCAGATGGGCTTGATTGAACCACCAACCTTCTGGTTAAAGTGCCTTAGGCACACTACCAGAGCTCTTTAGCCCAAACCCAGCTAACCTGAAAACTGTTAATCTCTTCCCTCAACTTTTGTTAGTAGAGCTCAGGCTAGGTTGTGGCCTGCACGGCCTCGAGAAATCAAAAGCATCAAAGTCTAGGCATGCCCACAATATACAAGTAGCAATTGGTAACTTTCTGGAGAAATTAAGTCTTGGCTAAAACATACAGCTTCTTGACTGTTTTTATAAAAGATTAGTACTCATCTTTTCATCATCACCATTCCTGAATAAACTTATGGATGGGATTTTTATTCCTAAATCTTACCCTTTTCTTTCCAATATGCCCTTTCTCAGAAATCCCATCTTTTGCTTAACCAGAAAAAAACACTTTTACATAGACTCCAAATCATAGCAACCCCCACTGGGTTTCCAAGGCTGTCTGTATATCTTAACAGAAGCAGATTGCCTCATCTTTCTTCCATGGAGCAGCTGTTGAATTTGAACCAATCTTTTGGTTAGCAGCCAACTGCCTTAACCACTACAGCACCAGAGCTTCTTATTAAACATAAAGTAGGAATATTTAAGATGTAAGAAAGTCAATTTGGTTTAATGAAGGCCAAACCCTAGCCTTACTATTAAGGTTATTACCCACAGAAAATCCCTCATAAATTCTGACTCCAAGACAATGATTATTCTTTTTTGATGACCATATACATGGTCTACTTTGTGCTAAACTGTTCTTGTGACCACTCTAAAAATGTCAAAAACTTCAGTGTTGGTGGTGGTGTCAGAATTAAGGAAAATAAGCATTTAGTGTTACTTCCCCAGAAAAGCAGACAGATCCGAGGGATGTACATTTTATTGGAAACCTTAAATACTCTTTAGACAGAACATCTTCAAGCAAAAGGCTCTCGTATGGTCTACACAGAAAGCTAAAGCTTTTTGGATTGGGGGCAAGGAGATACTGAGCACAGTAGACAGTTTCCCCACAGGACCCTTTCACGAATGCTCCTCAGCCAATTTATCAGCTTTTGCCACAGCTTCTTCAATGGGTCCCACCATATAGAAGGCCTGCTCTGGGAGATGGTCATATTCACCTAAATGAGGGAGGAAAAAAAACTAGTGAGAAGTGGAGAGATCTGTTTTCTACAGTGTGTATGTACATATACATACACACACCTTATCCATTAAGTCTAACAGAGAAAATGAGATGAATTCACATCAAAATCTTAATAAAGTTTCTCCACAAATCAAAATTTATAAGGATACTTGATACAGCATGAATTAAGAACACAATCTGGAGCAGACAATTTAAGTTCAAATTCTTATTCTGTATCTTAGTTGTGTGACATCAGAATAGGTTACATGAAAACTCCTCTGTGCTTCAATGTCCTCATTTGTAAAGCAAGATAATACTGCTTGTAAGGGTGCTTATAATTCACTCAGAGGAGTAGCTAATAATGAAAGCACTAAATATTAGATGATATACTACAAGGAGCTAGGCAATCAACTAACAGAAGTTATATTCTCAGAAATGGATGTAAAGTCTTTTCAAACAAAGTTGATGGGAAACTAATTTTTTAATTAAAAAAAAAAAAGTAACTGGGCACAGTATACTTCAATATTGTTTGATGGTTGGTGGAATCGGAATAGAGAGGTAACATTTCGGCTTCTCTGCCATTCTGTCTTCAGCTTTGGACTCCAAATCTCACCTGCTAAAATCTGCTGAAATCCTTTGATGGTCTCCTTCAAGGGTACCAGCTTCCCCAAATGACCTGTGAAAACCTCAGCAACCTGGAATGGCTGCGACAAGAAACGCTGTATTTTCCGTGCACGGGACACAGTCAACTTGTCTTCCTCAGAAAGTTCATCCATACCCAGGATAGCAATGATGTCCTGGAGGGATTTGTAATCCTATGAGAGAGACAGAGAGGGGGAAAAAAAAAAAACCCAAGTAAATATTCACATTCCTTTAATTTGGACAAAACACATCATACTGAGTTTTGTACAAAGCATTTTAGAACCTTACCTTGATTCACAAGTCAAACAAGTTATTAAGAGGGAAAATTACCTACTCAAGAAACAGGAGGGGCCCTCAGTATCAGTGATTTATTCTCCCTACTCTTGAAACTGGGGGTTTCACCTTTTCCTTCCCCCAAGCAAATCAAAGATGTCACTGGGAAATTTCTATTATAAACACAGATCCCAAACCCCGCCCCTTTTATTACTTTATGTCCACTGATCTCACATAGCAATACTCACCTGCAGTATTTTTTGCACTCCACGGGCAACTTCATAATGCTCACTGCCAACAATGTTGGGATCCATGATGCGAGAGGTGGAATCTAGAGGATCCACAGCTGGATAGATGCCCAGCTCAGCAATAGCACGGGACAGCACAGTAGTAGCATCCAAGTGGGCAAAGGTAGTGGCAGGAGCAGGGTCAGTCAAATCATCAGCAGGCACATAGATAGCCTAAAGTGAATCAAGAATCAATGAAGAGAAGCAAGAAGTCAAGTCATTCTATGTAGCCATCCCCCTTTCTGACCACTGCTCATCACCCCCATCTCTCTTTAGCATTCAAAAATCCACTTTTAAAGAGCCTTTTCACCCCTACCACCTGCTGAGTCTGTAGATTATCTGGCCCCTCTCCAAGAAGTGATGGAACAATTCTCATTATTATTCCTCTTCTTCATCCTACTTTTTAGCTCTCCTGTAATGGAACCCCCTTTTAGAATCAATAAAACCACACATACACACACACAAAAAAAATACCTTTTTGTACACTATAATTAGTAGTTCACCATGAAAATGAATTATGGAAGTTATTCTAACTTAGCATCCTTTTTGTATTTTTTTTTTTTATATACCACCTATACACATCTGAAAGGAGCTCTGGTGGTGCACTGGTCAAAGCATTTGGCTACTAACCAAAAGGTCAGTGATTCAAACTTACCATTTGTTCTATGGGAGAAAGATGAAGCAGTCTGCTTCAGTAAAGATTTATAGCCTTGGAAACCCTATGAGGCAGTACCATCCTATCCTATAGAGTCACTCTGAGTTGGAATTGACTCAATGGCAGTAGGGTATACACATTTGGAAACTTGTAGTACATTAATGTAGTACATAAAGCTGTTTCTATGAAACTCCAGACTCTAGGCTAGAAACCAGTTTTGTGATCTACATTTACAGCCATACCTTCAATTACTTTAACCTTTTAATGTCCTTAACATACCTATAAGGAATTTTACATATTATTTTGTGGAGCTCATGAACCCCAGGTTAACACTCTGTTTGAGATGTAAAAATCTAGCTTTCATGTCTTTCTCTACATTCCTTTATATAAATTTGACCTTCATCCATTTAATTTTTCTTGCCTGTACAGAGGTTATAGATCCCTTCTTGGTGGTGGTGATTCTTTCCTGCATGGTACCCATATCAGTGGCCAGGGTAGGTTGATAGCCAACAGCAGAGGGGATTCTGCCCAATAAGGCAGATACC